ATATATATATATATATATACATATATACATAAAAAACTATCTCTCTTACATATATTTATTTATTTACTTTTTCTTTTTTTTTTTTTCTTTTTATCTAAATAAAACACTTAAATGTCACTTTCACCCCCACACACACACACACACAAAAAACACACACACTCTCTCACTCACACACACACACTCTCTCTCTCGCACACACACTCTCTCTCTATATATATATATATATATATATATATATATATATATATATATATATATATATATATATATATATAATGACAAAATCTGTTTTGTGTCGTGCATTAGAGTTTGCTTAAAAAAAACTGGTTATCTCTGAGAAAGTATTATTTTATTATGGGTGTGTTATTAGTTCAGAGGAGATTGCAAATTGTTGAATGCCATTTATAAAAAAAATGTAAAAAAAATTGACTACAGACTTTAATAAAATTTTATCAGACAATTATTTTAATTTGTATGATTTTATTTACTACTGTAAATATTGTTTGCTTGGTATTTATTTTGTGTTTGTGTACTCTTTTTTTTTTTTATCGTAACTCCCTGAAGAAAGTCTTTTGGATACTGAACACATGACTGGTATTATCTTGTATTTTAAAATTATAGTCTTGGAAACATGCATTTTCTTTAACACTATTTAAGAAATTATAAGCATTATAACATGTGCTTACACAAGTGATTTGTGTTTTTACTATAGTAAACTATACCCAGACAGCACACATACGTTGGGCCGACGTCGGCCGAAGGTCAACACGTCGGCCCCTTTAATTCTAACATCTGTATATGGTCGGCCAAACATACGCATGATCGTTCGGTCGTGTGTTCTATTGTTCCAGCTCAACAAACGTCGGCTCTGCATCGGTTAACGACCAGAGGCCGACGAAGCACTTCATAAGCACTTGATCTCTCATGCCCATGAAAGAATCCGGCAACATATTTGGTTTACAAGTAAGTTTTTGCGTGCATAATAAATTAGACAAACGCGACATGCATCATGTCTACTGCGTCGGTCGGTCCAGCTTTAAATAGCCGACATTCATGCAGTAAAACTGACCAAAATGCCTACAATACATGATTTCAATTCATTAAAATATAAAAAGTTTTATTGTTATGCTTTAATAATGAAAACGTAGTTTTTCTGGTGTTAACTGCTGTTTGCTTTTTTTTATTGTGGCTTTTTCTAATACATTTTTTCCAGTGTAAAAATCAAGTATGTTCTGCATTTCGGCTGTTTAATTAAAATAAACACCTTTTTACAGAGTGACATCTTTGTTTTATATATACTTGCATTTATATTTATTGGTTATTTATTTTTGACAGTGAATCTGATGCACAAATAAAGTGTTTGTTTTGTAACAGTTTAGTTGGCTATAAAGCTCGTCTTAAAGATAATAGCGTATATAAAACTGCTAAATACATTTTAAATTCAAGATATAAAATACAAGGTTATTATTTAAATTGTCTATGGAGTGATCATGTTTATAAATGTAATACTGCATGACTTTAATGTGCGCGCGCGCGTCTCATTCCAACACTGGAGCGGAGAGGATGTTGCTATGGGAAACGAAGCTACAACACGACACGACACCACCTAAAAGACACAACACGACTTCTCTCAAGCTGCCGTTTTGACTGTTTTCAGGTAAGTTTAGTCCCTAAAACAAAGCAAATACTACATAAAACTGTTCCTCACACATTTATTATTGGCAATTGATGAATATTCAGTTGAATATTATGTTATATAAGAGTGGTAAGTCTCGTAAAAGTCCGTTAGCATATTAGCACTGGTAACGTTAGCGTCGGGGTAATATTACGTTAACTTACTTAATGTTAGCTCTTGTTAAACTTGTTTGTTAAAGTTTTGGATTTTATTTATTCTTTATGGTAGATGAGAGGTTTTGTCAATGTTTTATTGAATGCACTCCATATGTAGTCTAAAATACGCATTGTACTGTAAAGGACCGTGAATCAGAAGTTCAATCGTGTTTTGATATTTCATGGTATCTTAAACAAATGTTAAGTAAAAAAGTGTTCTGTGGTTTCAGGAGTGAGAGAATAACCCCCTGCTACAGAAAATATAACACAAGATTCCTACATTTCTGAAGGGAACTGATCACAGAGATGCAGAAAAGACAGGTAACTTTAAGCAGAGGATTAATTCATATGAATTTCCATTGCACATCATTATGCACATGTTACATGTCTATATATTATGCATCTGTTACTTGTCTTTATTGCAGTTATTATAAGAAAGTTTTGACATTGAAACATGTGAGTGGTATTACATTTCACATCACATGATTCTTCAGAACTTAATAAATATGCAGATTTGCTGCTAATGAAGTAATATTTGTGATTTTCATTTTGTTTAATTTTTTTTATGATTAATTGATTTATTAAATCTTAGAAAAAAGTTTACACTACATTATTTGTCATCACATCTGTTTTTAGCATTGATATCAATCAGAAATGTTTCTTGAGCAGCAAATCAGCACCATTTGATAATCACCATTATATTAGTTCAACCTCAAGCACTAAATCAACATCTTAAAAAAAGATTTCTGAAAGATCAAGTGACACTGAAGACTTGAGTAATGATGCTGAAAATTCAGCTTTACATCATAGCTATAAATTACATGTATATTTACACCGTTCACCCATCCCTTACACCTTAACTCATCCTGAAACAAGTCAATTTAAGCCCTAAATGAATAAATTTTGACTTTACAGGCATGATATGCAACTTGTATTCAGTCGTTTTGTTTTTTTTTTCTTTTGCTTTTGTTTTCCACATCAACTGAAAAGGAGGTCAAAGTTTAACCTAAGTGCCGTGTAGCTGATGAACATCTTTATATGTAAGTATATTTTTGACTGACTGCCAGACACTTGTCAAACAGTGATGAGCAAACGAGGGGCCGTTCTTTTAAAAAGATCAGGGAGATGCAAGTCTGGAGATTAATATACATTTTAATTCAAAATTGATTTATCTGTAAATATTTCATAATGTTTTGAGATATGTGCCCTATATCCATTTAGATGTCCATCCATGTTTAAAATACTTTTAAATTTAACAACGGCTGCAAGTTATAAAAACATAAACACAAAAATGTTAAAGTAAATTGAGAAAACATTTTCATCAGTTTGACAACATACACAATCTCACAAATAACATAGAAAAAGTGACAAAGCTGTCTTCTTTGTCTGTGTTTTATTACTCTCTTTGCACTCTCGGCCACTGTATGTAACAGTGATTAGTATAATCTAACGGTAGACAGATGAGGAATGTGAATATGTAGTTTAACTTTAAGGAGCGTTACTACTGGAACCATTTTTTGTACAAATATATATATATATATATATATATATATATATATATATATATATATATGTATGTATTGATTTACCTGTTAAAAAAATTAAGCAAAAAATTTATTATCAGGTAGATCAGCTCCTGACAGACATGTTAACAGGTCAGTTTAACTCTTATTAAATTCATTCATTCATTCATTCATTTTCTTTTCTGATTAGTCCCTTTATTAATCTGGGGTAACCACAGCGGAATGAACTGTCAACTAATCCAGCATATGTTTTATGCAGTGGATGCCCTTCCAGCTGCAACCCATCACTGGGAAACAACCATATACGCTTATTCTCACTCATACACTACAGACAATTTAGCCTACCCAATTCACCTGTACCCCATGTCTTTGGACTTGTAGGCAAAACCGGAGCACCCAGAGAAAACCCACGCAAACGCAGGGAGAATTTGCAAACTCCACACAGAAATGCCAGCTGATCCAGTCGAGGCTCGAGTCAGCATCCTTGCTGTAAGGCAACAGCACTATTGTGCCACCACATCATGCTCTTATTAAATTATATTTATATAATGTTGTGTTTCAGTACATGCTATTTTGGAAAGACAAAATATATTCATAAGCTCTCAGAAAATTCAATAAGACAATTAACTGCACAATTACTTGAAATGTGTGGATGGGATTACATTATTTGTTAACCCAAAGTGAGTTTCTCTTTCTTTGCAGTATTGGATGCCTGATTGCAGTTCAGCTCCAAACTCAGTTGGACCAGCTGATCAGTGTCTTCAGTATTACCACAAGCTACTGGGCAGATGTGTGGACAGCTATGAGCCAAACTTGGGACGTTTGGTTTTTAGGTAATACCAGTGACAAAGTATTCAGTAAATTGCTTATAATAAAAGATGCTCACTGCTTACCCCCTTATAGTTAAGTTGTTTGCAGTTTCATTGTTGGAAAAATACCATACTTTTTCCTTTTTTATCAGCAGGTGGAGAGACCATCTAGTCAGCAGAAACAAGACAACTAATCATAGCTGAGTTAAGATTAGTATTATTAACTTGACTAGTTTGGTTGCAGACTTGTTCAATACTTAACAATTTGTATAAGTTACAAGATCAATGGTCCTGCTATCAATGTTTTTGTAACTTAAATTCATTACAGTTTAGATACAATCAAATGTCCAAACCATCTCTGAGTGAATGACATCAAGGAAACAGGATCAAAAGATCATTCATTATAGACCGTTTCATAGGTAACAGCACATCCTTTGTGAAAAATAATTTATTTTTGTGTCATCATCACAAGACAAAATACATTTCAACTGATTCCAGTTGGTTGTATTTTTCAGGTCATTCTGTTCTCCTGGTGGTGAGGATGTGCAGAGGCTGTATTTGTGCAGCTGTATTCACACATATAAGCAGCCGACAAAGAGTTCTGGACCAGGACAGACAGGTAGTTCACAGTGGCTAGGCTAGAAATGTATACTTGGGTGGCCAGAAAGTGGCCTCCGCTATTTTGGGGGGTCCATACAAATAAACCAGTGTAAGCTATACTATTGCACTGAAAAAATTAAATGAAAGAATTAATTAATTGGTTGAACACAAAATATTTTAAAGAAAGCTTGAGTATCAAGGTGGCAATATACAGTATCTGTTACATTGTAGTACATGAGCTGGCTAATACAGACTCGTAAATGTTTAGTTGTTAAGATTAGTTAAATACTAAATCCTATACTTGAGACCGGCTGCATATACAGCTTTAACTGAACTTAATTTAACTAGAACTACACCAGCATTCCAAGTGCTCTAGACTAGCTTTTTGCACTGGTGCGTCTAAAATGTTTGATGGCATTGCATTTAACACTGCAATTTTACATGTTAAAATCACAATCCATATAGGCAATATTGACTTGTAAATGATTAATAAAAATCGGGTCAACACACATTATGGGGATTGTGTGTAGAATTTTGAGGAAATTAATGAATTTAATCCATTTTGAAATAAGACTGAAACATTAAAAATGTGGAAAAAGTGAAGCGCTATCAATACTTTCCGGATGCATTGTATATGGTTTTTAGCACGTTATCAAAGACTTAAAAAAATAGTCCAACATTATCTACAGCAGCAAAAGACCCTCCACATCATAAGCTACTGGTCAGCTCACGATTCAGCAAACATCTGAAAAACAAATAGCTCATTATGCCTTCACAAGAAATCAGTGTTTTTGAGTCTAATGAAGATAGTTATATTTTATTAAATTATTATTTAGCCTGGCATGTTTACTGTTACAAAATATTTTAAATGTTTCTTAAAATAAAACATATTGTGTTCAATGGGGAAAAAGTAGCTGCTTTTTACACAGAGATAAAAAAAACACATTTCAGAGCAGTAATCACAATACTGTGAAACTGTGATATTTTTATATTATCTTATACCTGCCCATTCCTAGCCAGTTAGTTAAAGCATTCAGTCAGAGTTTTTTTTATTATTTTTTTTTCAGTTGTCCTATATTCTGTTTTTCTATGTTCTTGGAAATGCTGCTGTGCATGAAAATGTGACGATATATCCAGGTTCTATAGTTAATTCTGAAATAAATCTTAAAATGAAACAATATTTAAAAATGCAATATTTAATGTGTCAGACACTAAATAAACATGTCAATTCATTTATATTAATCTGATTCCTTAACAGGGCAGCACGGGGGCGCAGAGGGTAACACGTTTGCCTCACAGCAAGAAGGTCGCTGCTTCGAGCTTCGGCTGGGTCAGTTGGTGTTTTTGTGTGAAGTTTGCATGCTCTCCCCGTGTTGGCGTGGGTTTCCTCCGGGTGCTCCGGTTTTCCCAAGTCCAAAGACATAGGTGAATTGGGTATGCTAAAATTGACCATAGTGTATAAGTGTGTGTGAATGAGTGTGTATTGGTTGCAGCTGGAAGGGCATCCGCTGCGTTAAACATATGCTGGATAAGTTGGCCTTTCATTCCGCTGTGGCGACCCCAGATTAATAAAGGGACTAAGCCCAAAAGACAATGAATCCTTAACAGTTAATATTGGTATAATGAGCAGCAGTTGTCATTTATGTAAATTAACCATTTGAGCGTGCTTAGTTTGGGGTATGTTGTGCCATTAAATTGTCAATTGTCAATTTCTACATTTTAAATCTGCTTTAACTTTCTTCTTTCCTATGAACCTGGAAATATAAAATATATATTTTTGGTTTTTAACAAATTGCTTATTTTATTCTTAGATTGGTGTAGGCTGATGGTCTGCTGAGAATTCTGCTGAGTTGAAGGGATCCTCCTGTCAGACAACCTCTCCAAAGTACAATAGGACTAGTAAGTAACATCTTAAACATACACTACTGTTTCATAGCTTTTAGGTTGGTATGGTAAATTCTCTTCTGATAGTGTCAGCTTTATTTAATTAATACAGTCAAGCAGTAATACTGTGAATTTAATACAATGTATATAATTAATAGTGTCACAGGATCCTTCTGAAAAAAATAGTATTCTAATGTACTGATTCTCTCCTCAAGCTGTTTTTTTTAAATATAATAATAATGTAATGTGGTATCTGAAGATTAGACATATATTTAGATACACATTTATACCAACACAATGATACTAAAAACCAAAAAAAATTCATTATGATTTCACAAGGAATTTAACTTTCAAATGGCTTTTCTGAAAATTAGTGCTCAGACACACTCTTTAAGTTTAAATTAAATTACACATTTTAGCTAGGCACTTGCATAACACATACTCCAGTTATATGTCATGAAACAAATGATAAATATTTGTGGTAATATGAACTGCTGCAATGCTAATCTTTCTCCTTTTGGTTTCTTGCTTTATTTAAGGGTTCCCACTACAAGGATTAGATTTGGCTACTGCAGTCCTGGTTTGGGCCAGCCTCACTTGTGAAGACTAAAGATGAAGACAACATACAAGAACAATTTAGAGGATGGCGACACACTTTTTATTCCACCTATATATCCCCTTTTATGTGTAAGCAACATTCCACAAGAATAAAACAAAACTAAATGACAGGTTATGTCTTTTAATTTTATCTGTTTTCTTGGAACATTGTACACAATTTACAACCAGTTTATATATATATATATATATATATATATATATATATATATATATATATATATATATATATATATATATATAGGTCAGAGCAAGAAAATGTTATGTTTTCTTCTGGAGAAAGTCTTATTTCTTTTATTTATATTTTAGTTTTGAATAAAAAAAAAAAAAAACATTTTAAGGTCAATATTATCAGCCTCTTTAAGCAATTTTTTTCGACTGTCTACAGAACAAACCATCGATATACAATACCTTGCCTAATTACCCTAACCTGCCTAGTTAAGCCTCTAAATGTCACTTTAAGCTGTATAGAAGTGTCTTGAAGAATATCTAGTCAAATATTATTTACTCAGTTATTAGAAATGAGTTATTAAAACTATTGTGATTAGAAATGTGTTAAAAAATATTTCCGTTAAACAGAAATTAAGGGATTATATATATATATATATATATAATGACAAAATCTGTTTTGTGTCGTGCGTTAGAGTTTGCTTAAAAAAACTGGTTATCTCTGAGAAAGTATTGTTATTTTTTATTATTGATGTGTTATTAGTTCAGAGGAGATTGCAAATTGTTGAATGCCATTTATAAAAAAAATTGTACTACAGACTTTAATAAGATTTTATCAGACAATTATTTTAATTTGAATGATTTTATTTACTACTGTAAATATTGTTTGCTTGGTATTTATTTTGTGTTTGTGTACGCTTTTATTATTGTAACTCCCTGAAGAAAGTCTTTTGGATACTGAACACATGACTGGGATTATCTTGTATTTTAAAATTATAGTCTTGGAAACATGCATTTTCTTTAACACTATTTAAGAAATTATAAGCATTATAACATGTGCTTACACAAGTTATTTGTGTTTTTACTATAGTAAACTATAGTCACCCTTAGTGTACATGTTTTGAAGTACTTGTAAATATTCCTATGGTCTTAATATAAATGCTGCAATGAACTTTGTATTTAAAATCTTAGTTGCACATTAGTTCAGCCATGGTTATAGTACAACTTGTTGTTTTTGTTTTAAACGTGGTAAAACATGGTTATGTGTGATAAAAGTATGTTAATCTATTTGTATGTTTGTGAAAATATTAATAAATCTTCAACTGTTATTGAGAGTGGTGTGTCGTGTTTATTATAAATAAGCAGCTGCTGCAACTAGTGGTCCATAAGTATGAGCAAAACGCCTGAGAACAGCGCCTCCGCGGCGCGGCCGGTATTTCCGGTTGCGTCGTCCTAACATCGGCCGGACAGCGTTTCCGATCATTTGCCGACGTCGCGGCGACATTTTGCCAATTAGCAAACGCTCCCTGAACGACATCGCACCGATGGAATTTTGAAAATCGGCACGACGTCGGCCCAACGTATGTGTGCTGTCTGGGTAGTCACCCTTAGTGTACATGTTTTGAAGTACTTGTAAATATTCCTATGGTCTTAATGTAAATGCTGCAATGGACTTTGTATTTAAAATCTTTATTGCACAGTATTTCAGCCATGATTATAGTACAACTTGTTGGTTTTGTTTTAAACGTAGTAAAACATGGTTATGTGTGATAAAAGTATGTTAATCTATTTGTATGTTTGTGAAAAATATTAATAAATCTTCAACTGTTATTGAGAGTGGTGTGTCGTGTTTATTATAAATAAGCAGCTGCTGCAGCTAGTGGTCCATAAGTATGGAGCAAAACGCCTGAGAACAGCGCCTCCGCGGAGCGGCCGGCATTTCCGGTTGCGTCGTCCTAACGTCGGCCGGACAGCGTTTCCGATCATTTGCCGACGTCGCGGCGACATTTTGCCAATTAGCAAACGCTCCCTGAGCGACATCGCAGCGATGGAATTTTGAAAATCGGCACGACGTCGGCCCAACGTATGTGTGCTATCTGGGCTATTACAGAGATTTTGTGTGGTAAGCTATTTTTATATTGCTAAGATCACATCACGTTTGAAATCTCTCTCTTTGTGCAGTGTTTGGTCTGTGCTGGTGACGCTGTGCCGTCAGAAAGTTCACCTTTCCAAGATATTTCGTGTGGTAAGTTGTTTTTATACTGTGATATTATTTAAATGCATATTTGGCTGCACAAAACCTGAAAAAGTTTAGCTTTTGTATTATTTTCGACGATCGCGTCGGTTTGATAGCTCAGTATACACAGATGTTTCATTATAATATAGAAACAAACATGCTGATAAATAAATATCCCTTTATATGTAGCAATATATGTTACCATGGCGATTGTTATCATTAGTTGTAACTATGAGAAGTGAAGAACATCTTAAGATCTTAACTGGGACAAAACATATGACCAATACCTGTATTTGTTATCATAAGAATATAGTAAAATCGTTATTGCCATAGACTGAATAATATATCACTGATTCTCCAGGCCTAGGACAAAAACATATTCAGCAATTACTGCTATAAGCTTTAAAATGAAAATGTGCATACATTAAATATGATTTGTTATGTTATTTCAAGTATTATATGTGTAAATGATATCATATTAATGAGAGTATGTATTTAACATGCTTAGAATGTATTTTACCTTACCTTATATCAGCCATATGGAGGTTGATATTAATAGCTGCTCCTTAAAAAACACAAAATACAACTGTAGGCATTTGAAAAAAATGTATAACAGAGCAATTGATATGATAATTCATGTTTTCATTGCCACTGTCAAATGCATCATCTCTGTCAGCATTGTTAACCCTTGTCAGATAATTTATTTGATGATATTTCATTTATTTGTTAATTATCAAACATGTAAAAATGGAAAAAAAAAAGACTTAACACACAAAATGTTTTTTTAATACTTTATCATGAGCTCAGAGCTAAGACCATATTCCCTCTCTATATTTGTGATGTTTATAAGAATACTTCTTACAGGTGAATTAGACATGGATCCACTGTTGCCCACCCTGAGCATTGTTGACACCAGTGTGCCACAGGACAGACAACAGTGCTTTCTTAAAGCATCGAAGGACGCCAAGACCCTGGCCTCTCGCAACAGGTGCTTCGAGTGGAACACTAGCCAGGACAAAAAAACTGCTTGTGAGGAAGGTAATATCTGATTTATGCGTTTCTGTCATATGCGTACACTGCAGACTGTTATTTGCATTAATGTTATTTTATGTCTTAGCTAAAAAAAGATGCCAGCACATTACTTGTACGCCATCTGAGGTCCAGTATCTCGGCCAGCTCATTCTAAACTTTGGCAAGTACAATGGACAAAGTTTTAAATGGCTGGTGGAGAACGACGTTGGCTACATTAAATAGTAAGTATGTTGCTATACATTTGTATAAGCTGTTTTTACACAAATTAATTATCTTTTTGAAATTTCAGTGTGCTGGATCTACACATCAAGGAGCGTCGCCATCAAGGAAGAAAAGAGGGCCCAGGTGAGTATATAAAGGATCTTCTGTTACAGTATGTGCAACTGTTTCCACAGGTTTCCTGCCACCTCGAGGTCAACGTCGAAAGGGCCATCTACGGTCAGGGCCGCTTCAGATCCTTCACGTTCCTGGAGATGTGGCAGTGGTACAGCCTGCACAAGACCCTGCAGGCGGATCCACAAGCTGGTAGTGCCCAAGAAAAGAAGATGGCACAGGAGGCGTTCTGCTCTGTGCGGCAGTGGCTGACGATGAAGGAGGAGGACATCAGCGTCAAGACACTGAAGCGGTTCCGGCAGTACATTCTCAACAAAGAGGTAGGTTTTATTTATTTCTTTTAAATGTGACTTTATTAAAAAATATATATCATGCTGGCAACATTTCATGCAAACTACAACCTGTAACTCACAGAAACCCCTAGAAGACAGGCCTCTTCCTGCAGCGGCGGCCAGCTCCAGCTCGTCGGGATCTAGAGGTGATGGTGGATGGGAGGATGATGCGCTACTGGTGGAAGCCCTCAGTGCTTTCGAAGCACAAGGTGTATATCACTTTTATTATTGTCTTTAATTGTTCATGTACCATAGCATAAATCTTTTATTAATAAATAAATCAATGACACACAATATCAAAACACTGTGCTGATGAGATTGTCTTCTTGCTGCTTTGACACTGACTTTTGCCCATCTTGTGTTTTTTTTTTTGTCCTCCTTTAGCAGTTGAGGACAAAGGCAGTCTGCCGAAGAAACCACTCAGCTTCTCTGAAAGACAAGGTATATCACATAATAAATGTCACTTATTAACATTTATTCATACTGTTGTAGCATGAACTACAGCTGAGGGCCCTCCTGTGAAATATTTATTTAAGGTAATGGAGCAAGGACATGTTCACTGTACTTAGGATAGTATATTATCTTTTGAAGAAAGTTTTATTTGTTTTATTATTTATGTTTTTCTATCGGCTACAGAACAAACAGTGTTAACCTAGTTAAGCCTTTACTTTCTCACGCTGAATATGGTAACACTTCAGTATAATAGTCCTTTAGTTAATCAATTTACTAACACTAAGTGTCACCAATCTTGTGCAGCATTTATTAATTACAGTTCAACATTAATGCATTATTAAAATCCAAAGTTGTGCTTGTTGCACAGTGCATTATTGAACTAACGTTATTTAACTTAAATAACATCATTAACAAAGATAAATTAATACTGTAATTAATGTATTAAATTTCTTGTTCATGTTAGTAAATGCATTAACTAATATTAACTAATGAACTATTACTCTAAAGTGTTACCCTAAAGGGTGACACTTTACAACAAGTTTGTATTAGTTAATGTCAAAGCATTTACTACCATAAACAAGCAATGAACAATATACTAAATACAGTATTTGTTCGTGTTACAGTCATCCATGCCAACTCACAGTCCATCAACTAAGCATTAAATATTATTTTAATAAAGCATTAGTACATGTTGAACTATGATTAAAAATGTTGTACAAGCATTGTTCATAATTAGTTCATGTTAGTAAATACATTATCTAATGAAACCTTATTGTAAAGTGTGACCCAATATTATATACTGTCATCACGGTAAAGATAAATTATTAGAAAAGAAGTTATTAGAACTATTATGTTTAGAAATGTGCCTGAACAAGTCCTCTCTCCATTACACATAAATTGTGAAAAATAAACTCAAATTTAACAGGGGGGCTTATAATTCCGGCTTCAACTGTGTGCATTAATAAATAAAATTCATCACACTAAGACACCGTCTTCTGATAATCACAACTGTGCTCATTTAGGAGCCGGGGAAGCAAAGAGAAGAAAACGTTCCTGTGAAGATCTGTCACAGAAGCCACACTCAGACTCTCCACTGTCTGCTGTAAGTTTATCATTTGTACATCACAATTAGGTGGTGTATATACTCCTGAATACAGTTTTGTGAGCATAGATGGGGAGGCCGTGCAAAAAGTATGAATATGTCAATGAAAAAGGTTTTACTTATTATACTTACTTTGTTGAAGGCTCCTGCGTCGACTTCTTTATTGGAGGCTCCTGCATCAGCCTCATTAGTTCCTGGCCAGTCTTCGTCATCGGCTCCTGCATCAGCCTCATCAGTTCCTGGCCAGTCTTCTTCATCGGCTCCTGCATCAGCCTCGTCATTTCCTGCCTCGGCTTCTTCATCGGCTCCTGTATCAGCCTCGTCAGTTCCTGCCTTGGCTTCTTCTTCGGCTCCTGCATCAGCCTCGTCAGTTCCTGCCTCGGCTTCTTCATCGGCTCCTGCATCAAACTCGTCAGTTCCTGCCTCGGCTTCTTCATCGGCTCCTGCATCAGCTTCTGTGTCAGCTTCTGACGTTCAACCTAGAAGGTCATCTGGTGGGTCAACACACAGTGACCCAGCACATTCTGAGGTAACTGTCAAAGAACTCTGTGAAGATAAGAAAAATTAATACTTTAATACTAAAACTTTAATTGATTTTAACAGTTTTGTCTCGGTTATTCTAATTACCAGGTGTTATTTGAGGGTTGGCACAAGATGTGGGAGTCTGGTCTTCATGGGCTGCCCAGTGCAGACATACTGTGGCTTAAGGAGGATGCTGAAAGGGGACTCTTTCAGAGGGCCATGTCTTATAAAGACAAACATGGAAACAGAAAGTGGAGGAAAGTCCTGAAGGATGACCGGATGTGGTTTCACCCTCCAGAATTTCCTGGAGTGGTGGAAGGAAAAGTCCCCTCAGCAGACTCCTTTTTTCACAGCTCCGTTTTTTTCTTGAGATCAGTCGGTGTGTGGCGTTACAGTCTTCGGTGCCCAAGGTCTGACTGCCCAGCACGCACCAATCAGAAGGCTTTTCTCTACCGTTGTGGGTATTCATCCACGGTAAGACAGATCTGCCACATGTCTGGCTGGTACTCCATGCTGACTGAGGTCCTGGCATGCAACGCCTGTAGAAAGGCTGCAAAGGAGTCGGAAGAGCATACTATTGGTCGTTTCCTGTCATGGGATCAGTGCATCCTTAATCAGCTCAGTCCAGCTCACAGAGCGGTGTTTCCTGCTGTCTTGACGCTACGGTGAGTCTCTAGCAGAATACAAATCATTGTAAAATTATTCAGAGTCTAATAAAAGTTAAGACTCACCATCATCTAATGATTGTGTTGCTCCTATGATTCTAGGCGTGGCGTGGACAAGCAGGTGATCCGCCTGATGAGGGATCGCACTGAGGGAAACACCATGGTGAAAGTTTGGAGACAGGTGCAGGAGAGCCACTGCGAGGACTATCTGCAGAGAAAGGACTTGTACACCACTCTTCTCAGCCAGTACAACAAACCTGGGAAGATCACTCGTAAGTCAGAGTTAATTGTTTTCTTTAAGGGATAGTTCACCCAGAAATGAGTAGTTTTAAACCTTTATGAGTTTCTCTCTTTTGTTAAACACAAAAGAAGATATTCTGAAGAAAGCCGAAATCCTGTAACCATTGACTTCCATTGTAAAAAAAAAAAAAAAAACAAATACTATGGAAGTCAATGGTTACAGGTTTCTGACATTTTTCTAAATATCTTGTTTAGTGTTTAAAAGAAACCCATAATGGTTTAAAATCATTAAAAGGATCAGCAAATGATGAAAGAATTATTATTATTATTATTTTTTAATTCCTATCCTTTTGAGCATTTATTCAAAGATTAAGTAGCAAAGTGTCTGTTTTCTCTGCTTTTAGGGAGTTTGTGCCAGCAGTTCCAGCGACCACCAGCACGGAGAGAGCCGCCATCTGCCAGACTGATGAGAAAGGCGTTCCTTATCTCAGAGGCAGATAACATCGAGGACTACCGTACTCAGATTATGTCCACATTTGGGCAAGTCCTGAAGTACGACTCCACCAAGAAGGTAAATTTAACACAATGGAAAAAAAGTCAGTTTGTAAACGTATTGCAAAACCTTTTTACTGTTATTCTTTCAGGAAATCCTTTATCAGAGAGATTTTATCCTTAAAATATTATTGTCCACTTTTGCATCATGGGACATTTTAATCATTAATTATTAATGACAATTGATAAGTAAAGTATTATTAATTGTTTAATAATAAATAATTATCAATAAATTAATATCTAATATGGGTTACTAGTGCTTTAAAATCCTGTTTGTCACCATCACACGCACCAGATTATTAATCATACTTACCTACGTCTTTGTGTGTCGTTTTCTTCACTTCAGGTTTCCTCTTGCATGCTCTGCATCCGAAATCTAATGAGCTGCAATGCAAAAACACATTATTAATTCATTTCTGAATATTAGTGACTATTACTTTCTTGGTCTGGTGCAGAAAAAAAAATACAAAATACAAAAATGTTTAAATCTGTTTGTGTTGTATTTGTTATCAGATCTGCAAGAAACTCTCCGGCGATGGAAAAGGCACTGCAGAGTTGTGTACCAATGTGGCCAACGAGCAGGGGCAGATCCTCATATCTGTTCTCACCTGTGAGGAGTCATTGGAGAAGATGAGGCCGATGGCTGAAGGCCTCATGGAGAGGTACAGGAGAGCTGACGAGGCACCGCCTGAGCTCATGTATGTGGATCGTGGCTGCTGTCGCGTCCACGCTGTGTCCTCGGTTGAGCAGCTCTTCAGTGACTGGACGGACAGGGGCATGCTGGTACGGCTGGACATCTTTCATTGGATCCATCGATTCGATGCAGCCCTACGGACAGATCATCATCCAAAGTATGCCCTGTTCAAGTCTGCCCTCTCTGCTGCCGTCTTTGCCTACAACAAAGACGACATGGCTCTTCTGGTACAGGCGATACGTGCCGGTCACTAGAGATGCGCGGATGGGCTATTATTTCATCCGCAACCGCATCACAAAACTCATCATCCGTCCGCCATCCATCCGCAGTAACATTTTTGACCAATTTTTAAAACCACACCCGCCCGCCATCTGCTGATTGGGCTCTTTATTTGAATGGCTTATTCCTTTTTTTATTAATTGAATGTTTCTTTATTGATCTTTATAGAATAGAGAATGACTTTAATGTAGACATGCAGTTAATCCAAACGTGCAAGTCATTAATTGACGACGCTTTGAAGTTACGCTAAAGATACGAGGACGTGTCTTTTCACTTGATTCGATTCCTCAGTCTTTTCGCGTCCTTCCCTCGTACCGTTATCCCGGTGGGGTGGAAACACGAGGAAAGAAAGCAAGGAAAGGAAACGAGGATGCACAATAAGAAATGAGAAGCACCCGAGCTCTCAGAATATCAGCAGTGAACTCCATCTCCAATCGGCGCACAGGGACAAAAATAAATAAATAGCCTAAATTAAACGCACTGTACTATACAACTTTTTTTTTATTGTAGCCTAATAGAAAACGCATTGACACATCATTTCAACATGCTGCTATTTAGCCTACTACTAAATGCCTATTTCACTTTATTTTTTAGTAAATAGATAGAATAATAAGTCATTTACATTATAGCCTAATAATGTTTACATTTGTAGTTGTCCATAGCAACCCCAAAAACGTACCTGATTGCCTTGCACATCTAATTAATGGGCACAGTTTTTCGACTATTTTTTTTATTTTTTGCTGTGGATGTTATTGAGCTTGCAGAAATCGGAAACAACACAGTTCTGCGACACAGATGAACCTTTATTGATATCTCTATCAGACAATACCTATTTTATATGCCAAAAGAAACAACAGGCAGTAAAAAAATATTAACATAAATATCTTAATGTAGGCATAGGCTATAGTCGCATGCTTTGGCAAACAGTTGAACATTTTTTAATAAAAACGTCATATCGTGCATAAGCTTTGTAGGCTCAGTCACCCCCACAATTAGAAATTAAATTAGAAAAACAGATATGCCATCCCTCTTTGAGCGAACCTGACCAGGCTAAAGTGCATGTATGAAAAGTGCCCCAATAACCCATTCCCCTCAAACTTGAAGCATAACGAAATACTACGCCATTAAAGTTGCGACAAAGAAATTCTGGCAAAATAACCTAAGCCTCGGAACGTAAAAGCGAGGCCAACATGTCTAGAATAGAATAGGCTAAACCAATATGAACGTAAAATTATCAGCTGACCGAACTCAAAAGTTTATATTGAACATGTGTGTAGCCTAAATAACATAGGCTAATTGGTTTAATATGCCTGACCTTAGGTCTAGTTTTATTTTTTTCTTGGCACAATGCAGGAATAAAATAGCATTTGTGTCAGGATTCAGACGGGAGCGCCTGCATAGCCACTATGCGCCCTGCTGCACTGAAGGAGCGCTCGCTCGCAGCACTTGTTGCTGAAATGCATAGAATTCTCTTGGAAAGGTGCTGCAATCGTGGGAATGCCTGGCCTTATTTCTCCCAAAAGGAAAGTAGATTTTCCTCTGCTGATCCGTCTATACGGAAGTTTGTAGAGGTATACTTCTGTACTTCATCCAGAATTAGTGTATCCGATTCCTCCTCCCATTCTGTGAAGTCATTCCTAGGCTTTTTCGTTGGTGCGCCAGCTATGACTATAAAAACAGTGCAACCGCCCGCCACCCGCCCGAATTTAATTAAAATATTATTTTTTCGTAACGTCATCCGCCCGATCCGCGGTTTATCCGCGGAGTCCGCGGCTATAACCGCCAACCGCGCATCTCTACCGGTCACCCAACCAACTATGCCTCCCTGACTGACAGCCAGATCATCGAGCTGCGTGTCAGTAAATATGACCTCAGCCATTACGTCAGGAGGATCACAGTTGGTGCACAGGAAACATGTGCGCGCGTGCAGTGCGCCATTGATCTCCTGAAGGGAGCCGCAGGGATGGATGAGAACCAGGTGCATCTGTTTAAGGACTCTGCAGCCATCGACCACATCTGGGAGAACCAGCAGAAGCACCTTGAATGCATCCAGGATCCACCAGGGAGGAACATGTACACCATCACCAAGTATGTGACCCGTAACGGTGTTCGTCTTGCGCGGTACAGTACGGTGAGAGGAAGCAACAGTCTGGAGGGCTTTCATTCCTTTCTGCCTGACATGATCCCGGGACCCCACTGTGCTGCCGTCCCGTTTCAAGTCTATCTGTTGGCTGGCATCGCACACTGGAACTCTAACAGGGAGTCAGCCAGCGTCCAAGGGCGGAAAGGGAGGAAACATATATTGTACATGTCTCCTCTGGTCCATCGCCTAAACCAAAGGTGCCAGGAGCTATTTGGGGAGGTGGAGGAGGCAAACTACAGGCCTCCGGTTCCTGCTGGTGATGAGCGCATTGGTCTGGAGTACCTGTTTTCCCAGTCCTCAGAGCCCTTCAGTGCTCCTGATCATTACGCTCAGACTAGAGAGACACTTCAGGCAGATGAGGATGAGGACGAAGATGTTCCTGCTGGGGTGGCAGAGGAAGAGGAAGAGCTGCAGGAGGAAGATGATGATGTGGGCTACTCCTCAGACCGCGAGAGGGACAGCCTGACTCCTCTGAGGAACCGTCTGTGCCTCACCGATCAGGCAGTGGCTGCTGAATTTGACCCCTGTGTGGAGGACGTGTGCGGTCCCAATCATCTGCCTGGGTACCAGCACGTAGAGTATCTGTGTAAAGTCCTTGTTGAGATCGCCCTGGAGGAGGGAAAACTTGCCTTAAATGAGTCGACCAGGCAAAAGGTCATCAGCGCCTGGAACAAGCTTGACCTCCATGACCGCAGCATCCAACAATTCGACAGCCTCTACTCTGCACGCTGGGGCAATGCTCTGTTTGGCCGCACCAGTGGAGATCCGACTGAGGCGTCCCTGGTGCAGAAGCTCAAGTTCAGCAAGCAGTACTCAGCCGCACACTTGGTGGACTCCAGAAAGAACCGGCTGATGTACTGCCTGGTCAAACAGCTGTGGCTTCATCCTGGTGTTGGAGGAAAAGCTAAAGGGTCACCGCTGAAACAGCAGATCACTAAACTGTACCAGCGTGTGCAGCAGAGAGTGACGGTGGACGATGATCAGCTCAGCAAACTCGGGATTCCCATCCTGAAAATAAATTTAAAGTGCGTGAGCGAGTTCATCAGGAGGCAGGAGGCGCTGTCAGCCACAAATGTCACCAACCAGGGTCTGTCTGTCCTCTGTCGTCACCAGAGCGTCTCCAGCACCAGCCAGCCCCCCGCTGAGGAGCTTCCAGAGGAAAGACCCCATACCAGCCGGCCTCCAGTGCAATATCCTATCACCACTTCTCTGGCCGGCACCCGAAAGTTGAAGCAAAGGCTCCCGCAAATCTTACCTGTCCCTCCCTCTGCTCTTGCTCAACCAGTTCCTGCGCCGGCCCATTCGATGCCCGCAGGACTCCGGCACACACACACTCCGCTGACTGCACCTCCCGCTGTTTCCTTGCCGCAGGCATCCACTCTGCCACTGTTGCCCTCAAGATCAACAGTCTACAAGAGGAAAAAGGCAGAACTCAGTGGCTCTGGACATCCAACCTCAGTGAAGGTTTACATCAGTGCTCTGTGTGGCCAACCAACTCAAGGCCACAAGAAATACAGAAAGAAGAGCTACTGTGAGAGCTCCAAAGCCTCCACGTCCACAAACCTTGCTGGGCAGACGTTTGACTGTTTTGAAGACTTTAAAAGGGCTGTGGACGTTCTCTTGGGCTCTCAGTCTCAGGCCTCCGAGTCTGTCTAACTGGACCTCTATCCATGTTGCGGTTCATAGTTCTTGACTTGTAACAGTGTTATTGTTGCAAAAATGGATATGTTATAATAACAGTTGGTTGTTTGAAAGTTTACAGTGTTTTACACTAATCTGTTGATTGTTGTAACACTGGTATTGATGCAAAAATGTATGTTATAATAACAGTTGATTTTTTAAAAGTTTACAGGTTTTTATGGTTTGCGCTAATTTGTTGACTGTTTTTTACACTTATTGTTGCACAAATGTTCGCAATATTAACAGTTGACTGTTTCAGAGTACACATAGTTTTATACTAATTTGTAGATTGAAACTTATTGTTAATTTACAAAAGTTAAGCTTTTTTTTTTTTTTACAGTTTGCACTAATTTGTTGATTGTTGTAGAAACAAATTTTATATTAACATTTGACTGTTTAAGTTTACAGTGTTTTACACTAATTTGTTGATTGTTGTAACACTGTTTTGTTCCAGAAATGTATGTTATATTAACAGTTTAATGTTTTACAGTTTACAGTATTTCTTTAATTGTTTTCTTGTTTTTATTTATTTATTTATTTATGTATGTATTTATTTATGTTTATTAAGTATATATTATCATAATGTTATTTAAAGTACTTTAATATAATTATTTAATTTAATTATTTATTTATTATAAAATTTTAGTAATAAAAAATATATAATTATGTTATTTAAAGTACTTTAATTATTACTTTGTGATAACTAATGTTGCTTTATATACTTTAATTGTTAGCTTAGTTTTTTTTTAAGAGGATTTATTTTTTATTTTATTTTTTTATATCTAAATGCTTGACCTGGCAGTATTTTTTTATGTATACAAATATATTCTTATATCTATAACTGCTATCAGTAATATTAAAACTTATGATTGTAATAGTAATGTGCTTTTTATTATGTACAAAGTATATCTATAGTATACATTTTTATGTCAGGCAGGTCTAACAATATGTTTAGAACTTTTCTTTTGCACTTTTAATAAATTTGGATAATAAAATACAATCTCGTGTTTCTTTTTGTATGTGTTGGAAGGACTTCATTGGTTTTTAAAAATTGACTAAATCTTCTGATTTTGAATTTAATTTAGAATCATTATCCAAGTCTATGACAATAATATGCAGTCCATTTTAATAGTAACCTCTGGTACAGGCGCTCTGAAAGGTCTATTGCTCCTCTGTGTTTTTCCAAGTCCAGCTCTGGAGTCGATGA